CCCCAAAACCCCAAAACCCCTATTGAAAAAATTGTCAAAAATCAAGTTATTATAGAGATTATAAATATTTAATCAAAATAATTGAATTCGTTCATAACTTTTGCTCATCAACTTATTTAAATCAATTTGGAAATATTTGAAACTAGAGGGATTATAATTTTGAGCAATTGCATTATCTCCGATATAAATAGAACTCTTATTATTTATATGAGTCAATTTAAAGCAATAAGGGATTCCAATCTCGGCTTTATTTGGATTTTATATTAAGAAATGTTTTTCTATTTGAAACTTGCCTAGATCTTTTCCTTTCAAAGGAACCATCTAATCATGGTGTAATTTCTGATTAAAAATTGTATAGAGTTCTATTTACAATTCTGAATTTTTGTAGTTTTTCCATTCTTTAGGAGTTTTAGAATTTTTCTTTATAGCTTCATAGTCAAAGGAATAATTATATGAGTATAACTATTACTATGCTTATTCAATTTAATTATCTAGTTTATTCAATTCTAATTTCTGGTGCTAGGAGATGTTATCTTCATAAATACTACCATCTTTATTTATTGCTTATGATAGTATCTGCAATTTTTTTTCTTAATTTTCCAATCAAATTGATTATTAACTTATTAATTAATCTCTGTTATCCAATTTCTTTAAAATTGTATCTGTTTTTTAATTCTAATCATTCATTACGGAAAAGAAACTTCTTAATATTGGATGAATATAAGCTTATAATTTATCCTTTTCGTCAAAATTGGTAGAATTGAACTCTTTATCTTAAGGATTTGAGATATATTTGTCCAGCATTAAATAATCTTAAGTTGATTAATCAATTCTCAAAGGCTACTTCTCCTCTTCTTGATGAAATTGTGTTTAAACAGATTTCTTTAATTTTGTAATCTTTAATTCATTATCTCCTAAATTTTATATTTCTAATTTGTTATCAATTAGTTCAGTCTAACTTTCCTGATCCTGTAGTGCTATTTCAACTTTTTCTAATATTTCTAGTTCATCAGGAATTTTTTCTTATTCATCATGAGTTTATACAGACTAATCCACTTACTAGATTATATCAACATGAACTCCGAAATCATTCTTGATTGTCTTTTCTATCACAATTTGGTCTAAATTGAAATTTACTTAGTGGACTGGGTCGAACAAGGATTCAAGTTCCTATAGATAATCCTCTAGTTTTTCCGCATTATCCTCAAAATTAAGACTTTCTAGATATTTGATAATTCTGACTAGTAGTCTTTCATAACTCGTTTAAAAATCACTCTCTGAAAGCTTGCTTTTCATTATCTCTATTTCCTTAATTGTTTTATCGTCTAAATGAATTATATACTATGAAATCCAAGGCAATTTCTAATTTATAATCCAAAGGATAGAATAGGCAGTTGATATGAGATCGTCTCTTCTTGAACTCTCAAAACCTTTAGCAGCATATATAGAAGCAAACACTGGCGTGCCTCTGAAACTCAAGTTTTCTCTATATTATATATGAGATCCCTCAGATGTTATAAACTATTTGCTTGAGCCGAAATCAATTAAATAGATCTTTTTATTTTAGACTCTGAAATTTTCAGGCTTTATATCGACATGCACATAGTTAGTTTTATGAAATTTCATGACTGCCTCAAACATTTCTCTACAAAATCGAATTAAATACTTGTCGGTGGACTCTCTTTAGAGTTATTCATAGTAGTCTAGTATACTATCTTCAATGAACTCCATCTCAATATAAAGGTACTGTTTGCCGTCTTCCTTCACATTGCCATGTTTATAATATTTTGGAGTAACAAAATTGGTCAAAAATTCTTAGCTTGACTTTTAAGCTTCATAGATTTTTCTAAGGTTCACTGATTCCTGCACATGACTTTGACAAAACCTTTAATCAAACCATTTTATAGCCCTTTACTCATTTCCATTTGAGTATAGAGCTACCGTACCATAGGATCCAGTCCCAAGCTCCTTTACGAATTAAAAATTGGAGTTATATGTTTTAGGATAAACTTTGCTTTAAATCTCTAAGTTATTCATCTAATATTATAATAAATAATCAATTTTGATGCTTTAAATAATTAATTTTGATCAATAATTTGAAATCAAGCAAAACGGGGTTTTGGGGTTTTGGGGTTTTGGGG